CCTTTTTTAAAGATGGGCACTACATTAGCCTTTTTCCAGTCATCCAGGACCTCCCCCGATCGCCATGAGTTTTTAAAGATGATGGCTAATGGCTCCGCAATCACATCCGCCAACTCCTTTAGCACCCTCGGATGCAGCGCGTCCGGCCCCATGGATTTGTGCTCATCCAGTTTTTCTAAATAGTCTCAAACCATTTCTTTCTCCACAGAGGGCTGGTCACCTCCTCCCCACACTGTGCTGCCCAGTCCAGCAGTCTGGGAGTTGACCTTGTTTGTTAAGACAGAGGCAAAAAAACTTTTAACTAATCACGGTGTCACCACTGTCGTAGTGTCCTGCCTTCATTTTGCGCATGTTTGCTCCCAAGTCAATGGCACTTTCTCTTGCAGAGCCATTTTTCCCGAGGGTCAGTCCCTGGATGGTGGCTCTGGGGGTGATCCTGGTTCTCCTGGCTGTTCTCATGGCCCTGGCCGGTTACTGCTTCTGGAGGCGACACAGAGCAACAGGTGAAGTAACGGGGGTGGGTGGGGGAATTTGGGGTGGAGGGAGAGAGAAAAATGAAAAACAAAAGTAAAGATACCAGGATTAAGGGGCTTTGATTCCATGTTCAGAAGAGTTTCAGGCAATGGGATTCAGGAGGAGGGTGAACGATGACTTCAGATTTGAGCTGAGAAGTATCAAATGGCTTCACCCCTTCAACGCTCACTAAAGGATCCCAATCGAATGGGATTCTGAACCATTCCACGGGGATCAGCTCTGCTTACATTGAAACACCTGGGTGGGGCTCAGTGAGCTGGGCTTGGAGCGCTGACATGTGTAACTTGGCAAGAAAAAACTAATAGAAAGTAGGAGGAGAGAGGGGATTTCTTCAGTTCCAATTCTGCCCCCCCAGTCTGTGCATGCCCCTCCCCCGCCCCATCTAGATGAGTAGGAGCTGCGAATGGGAAAGTAGTGATAATGGAGAGGTTAGCAATTACCTTATCTACAGTGTGGTCATGGGCCAGCGCTCAGAGAGAGCTCTCCCTGTGCGCTAGGAAAACCACTCCACGAGGGGAGTAGCTCCCAGTGCTGGGAGCCTGTCTACGCTGGCAAGTTACTGCGCTGAAACTTGCTGCGCTCAGCCTGAGGGTGGATCTACACTGCACACTTCTGTCGGTAGAACTACATCCCTTGCTTGGGGGTGTGGGGAATCCTCAGCCATGAGCAACTCAGTGATACCGACCTACCTCTCGTGGAGGTGGAGTACCTACCCCAATGGGAGAGGCTCTTCTTTCGGCATAGGTAGCGTCTCCACTAAGAACTCTAGTGGCGCATCTGTACTGGTGCAGCTGCAGTGCTGTAGGTTTAGACAAGCCCTGAGATCCTGCTACAGGGACAGGGCAATAAACTCTCTATTGCAGTACAAGTGCTCAGCTATAGGTTTTCCTCTGATCACAAGGGGCAGAAATTGGCCTTCAGTGATCTGGGCATTTCTAGCAATGCTGGGGTTTTCAAAGCTTCCTAAGGGATCTGAATACTCAATTTTTGTTTAAATTAATGGGCACCAAGTGTGCAACCCCCCAAGGCAGCTGTGAAAGTCCCAGCCAGAGTTTTCTCACCTGAAGTGCTGTGTGGGAATTTACAAATATCTGAAGAATTGGGAAGGGGAAATGTCTGTTACAATGATTTCCCAGTGGGGATGGAAGCAGGTAATTCAGAGAAGCAGAAAGGAGCTGTGCTTTGTACTTGTGAAAGCTGGAACTGGGTGTTGTACCTTTAGAACTGTCACCTGTAAACCTTCTGCCTATTGGAACTGGCAAGACAAAACCAGCTTGAGCCCCCACCCAGTAACCTGGGACAATTATATACCCCCTCTGGGTGTCTCTAAGAGGCGATACTTTCCCTCTTGTAAGCACAAAGTCTCAGTGTAGAAAGAAACTTTTAATAAAAGGAGGGAAATAACTCGGCATTAATTTGGGAAAACACCACAAACAGGGTTCATAAACATAAACAGAGTCAAAGACTCAGGCAGTGTCCTTTTCCCCTCAGGTTCTTAAGTCCAGCAACCAAATGTCCCTTTAACATGCCCATCCCTTCTCTGCACCCCACTCACAGTTGTTGTTCTGGGTCAGTGCAGACCCAGAGTCCAGAGGTGCATCTGCAGAGTTCACCTCCCACCCTGGGTGGAGAGGGGGTAAGCAGGCACATTAGTAGCTCTGCTGCCAAGGCAATTGTTTTCCACTCCTCGTTGCCAGACAATTGGCACTCTGCTTCTCTTCCCTAGCCACACTGGGTCACAAGATGGTATCGCTCAGGCTGTGTGCAACAGTGACTGGCAGACATGACGCTACCTCCATTTCCTGCAGTGATGGTACCTCAGGGTTGATGCACCAAGTGAATGAGCTCCAAGTAGGAAAGAGCTGATCTTAGAGGTGATGCCTGTAGGGGCCCATCCACACACCTCTCCCTAGCTCATACTGACCCAAGCATCCAGCAAAAGAAAGACCTCTCCACCCCATTCTTAGCTGTGGCACCCCATCTATCCAGGCCCTAGAAGGAGCTGTTCCAGATATCACTAGGATCATGGAATAGGCATGACCCTAGTGATACATGGCCAGGAGTTGACCTATGATGGAGCCAATCAGACCCTGTCCCTTATCCAGCTCAAGTTAAAGCCCCATTCCCATCCTTCACTTCCCTCCCCCTTCCCACAGTCAGGAGCTGGGGAGAGCTGGGGCTTTTCAGGGGATGGGCACAGAGGGGAGCAGACAGGGAACTGGATAAAAAAAGAGACCTTCTCTCCTCTTCCTCACAACAACCAGATCAGACAGGAGTGTGACAGGTCCCAGGAAGCGGGGATGGCTCTTGGGGGAGACACTTAGAGCAGCTCCTAGAGGTGATGGTCAGTGGGGAAGGGAAGTGAGGGATGGTCAGTGCAGGGATGTTGAGACAGATCTGTCTGTGTGTCCTGTTTCTCAGTCTGTCTGCCTCACTTTCATAGTTACAGCACAATTATATTAATATCTGGAACTGCACCATAAACACGATGGTGAAATCTCACCTCTCGCCCTTTTCTCCCTCTAGAGATTCTGCAATCTGAGATGGAGAGCGAGAAAGGTCAGTGTTTGGATCCCATTACACTAGCTGACAGAGTTATCCCCATAAATAAAATAGGGTGAAATCTTGCCATTATTAATGATTGGAACAGGTTCCCAAGGGCCGTGGTGGATTCTCCAGCACTGGCAGTTTGTAAATCAAGATTGGATGTTTTTCTAAAAGATCCTCTCTAGGAATTGTTGTGGGGAAGCCCACGGGCTTCTGTTATGCAGGGGTCAGACTAGGTGATCACAATGGTCCCTCCTAGTCTTGGAATCTATGAATTGATGCATCACCTCTCACCCTGTTCTCTCTCTAGAGACCCTGCTGTCTGAACGGGAGCAAGAGAAAGGTCAGTATCTGGGCCAGTTACAAAATTAACATTATCCCCATAAACCTGACCGGGGGAAATCTCACCTCTCCCTCTTTTCTCCTTCTAGAGACCCTGCGATCTGAGATTAAGAGGCAGAAAGGTCAGTGGGGGACCAATGGGATGCGTTGAAGATTTCATGTCAAGTCAGTCAAGTCAGCTCAGTCGAGCCAACTTAACTCAATTGAAAGCCACATTTAATGCCAGCGTAGTCACTGTTTAACATCTTTAGCTCAATTTTAGCAAGTGGAGTTACAGCCTGTTTTAATGAGTGACAGGGAATGTCTCCGTATTGGCACCAGAACCCCAAGCAGGGAGCTCAGGGCTGCTCACACTGACACAGATGCACTCTGAAGGGTGAAGGGCCCATTTGTCCTAATAAACCCCGTGGAAATTACAGAAATGGCACCTTGAGCCCAGGGCCCTGAATACACCAGCCCAGCTTGGTCAGTCTCATTGCTGGAGACTGTGGGTACGTGTACAGTGCAAAAAAACACCTCTTGGCTGCGAGTCTCAGAGCCTGGGTCAACTGACTGGGGCTTGTGCTGCAAGGCTAAATCTAGCAGTGTAGCCATTCCCACTCGGGCTGGAGCCCAGGCTCTGAGACCCTCCCCCATCGCTGGGTTTCAGAACCCAGGTGCCAGCCCAAGCAGAAACTTCTACACTGCTATTTTCAGCCCTGTAGTATGAGCTCTGCAAGCCCGAGTCAGTTGCCCCAGGCTCAGACCCACTGACACAAGGTTTTTTGCAATGTAGATGAACCCGGAGGGACTTGTCCAGTGTTTGACAGGATCACTCACCCGGGAACGCCTGTGTTCTGACCCTTCCATGCCCATGCAATATAGGGGGGAGGGATTTCATCCTCAGTGACAATGCACACCCACAACCTCAGCTCCACCCTGCAGTGACTCCATAAAATAACCATACAGGTCTGATCAGTGCAGAGCAGTGTGTGTGAGGTTCTACATTAAATGAAACTGATTTGTAAAGGCACACAATGTTTTTTAGTTTTCCCCTCATGATCTTACTACAGGGCAGAGTTAAGGTTGTTTAGGTGCCTTAGCGGATTTCTAGACCATAGATTTATTTTATAATTTAACCATAATTTGTATTTCCTGGGTGTATAACACTTGGTTTGGGAATAATTACAACATTCCTCCTGTAATGTGTTTTAACCTTAAGTTACAAGTACATCCCCTCAGCCTTAACTCCACATTAATGTTTTTATCTGGGAATTGCATTGTGCACTATGGCCCAGATCTACAAAGAAACCCCAGACATAAGCCTCTCAATCCCAGTTTTAGTCACCATGATCCACAAAACCCCACTTGGTTGAAACCCAACCCTGTAGGCACCTAAACTCACTCGGGGCATTAATCTCTGGTGTAAAAGTTCTCTCAGAGCCTAAGTTTCTGCCTCTGGGCACGTGGAGCACACGGCTGCCTTGCTGTAGACATCTGGGCACCTATCTCCCACCTGTGCCCCTGGAGACACATAAACTGAGGGGAGAAGCATCTAGCTCACTTGTGGGGCCTGATCCAGTAGATGTGCTCAGAGGCCACCCAACAGCACACAGAATGAGGTGGGAGATGGAGAGGCAGTGAGCCTCCCTTGTAACATTTAGCCCAGGGGTTACAGTACTAGGGTTACCATCCGTCCGTATTTCCCCGGACATGTCCGGCTTTTGCGTCTCTAAACAGCCGTCCGGGAGGAATTGGTTACAAGGTTAAAATGTCCGGGTTTTTTTTCTCCCTCGCCTCCCTCCCTCCCTTCCATGCAGAGTGCGGCTGCTGATTGGGCGGCTGGGCCAACTGACCCACTCCCATTGGCCTCCAGCAGCCAGAGCCCTCCCCTGCTCCCCCCTCCCTCTATCTGCAGCCCTGTGTAACACACAAACCGACCCACCGGGCAGAGTATTTTGCAAACACGTGGAGCCAGAATGGTAAGGGGGGGGCAGTCAGGGAGCGGGGGAGTGTTGGATGGGTCCCCGGCCTCCACCTGCCACCCCCCCTCCTCGCGTCCCCCCCTTGTGGGCCCCGCCCCACCTGCCTCTCCCTTGTCTGCTGCCCCCGGGTCCTAGTGTCCCCCATCTACTAATGGGAAGACAGGCTGCCCTTACCTTGCCCTTCCACCCTAGCCCTGAGCCTCTCCAACATCCCAAACCCCTCAGCCCCAGCCCTCATCCCCCCACACCCTAATCCTCTGCTCCATCCCTGAGCCCCCTCCTGCATCATGAAGACCCACAGCCCTCACCCCTGCATCCCCTCCTATCCCCAAACTCCCTCCCAAACCCCCTCCCCACACACCCCCTCCTGCCCTCAAACTCCCTCCCAAAGCCTGCACCCCCTCCCTTTGCACCGCCTCCCACCCCCAAACTCCATCCCAGAGCCTGCACCCCTCACCCCCTCCTGTATACCCACCCCCTGCCCCAGCCCGGAGCCTGCACCCAGCACCCAAACTCTATCCCAGAACCTGCACCCCTCCTGCACCCGAATCCCCAGCCCAGGACCCGCACCCCAGACCTCCTCCCCCCACCCATCCCCCCTCCCAGAGCCTTAGGCAGGTGGTGGGGGGGTTCTGGGCACCACCAAAATTTCTACAACCCTGCCACCCATGCGAGTGGATAAGGGTTGGGGCAGTCAGGGGACAAGAAGCAGGGGAGGTTGGGATTCTGAGGGGGGCAGTCAGGGGGTGGGAAGTGGGAGGGAGTGGATGGGGGCGGGGCTAGGGCAGGGCTTCCCCCCCCCCCCCAGTGTCCTCTTTTTTGATTGTGGAAATATGGTAACCCTATACAGTACCCACCTAGGATGTGGGAGACTCTGGTTCAAGTCCCCCATCTCTGCTGGAGAAGGTATTTAAAGAAGGATCTTCTACCTCTCAGGAGAATGCTCTAACCCAGGGGCAGGCAAACTTTTTGGCTTAAGGGCTGCATCAGGTTTCCAAAACTGTATGGGGGGCCAGTTAGGGGAGGCTGTGCCTCCCCAAACAGCCAGGTGTGGCCTGGGTGAGGATTCTCTGCACCTTGAAGTCTTTAATCCATGATTTGAGGACTTCAATAGCTCAGACATAGGTTAGGGGTTGATACAGGAGTGGGTGGGTGAGATTCTGTGGCCTGCGTTGTGAAGGAGGTCAGACTAGACAATCATAATGGTCCCTTCTGACCTTAAAGTCTATGATTCTATCCGACCCTCCCGGATTCTCGTCCCCTGATGTCCCACCCAGGACTCCTGTCCCATCCAACCCCCACCATTCCCTGACAGCCCCCCCGGGACCCTTGCTCCATCCACCCTCCTGCTCCCTGTCCCCTGACTGCCCCCAGAACCCCCGCCCCTGACTGCCCCTCGCTACACCATCAAACCCCTCCTCTCATTCCTGACCCCCCCCGAGACCCCTGCCACATCCAACCACCCCTTCTCTCTGTCCCCTGACTGTCCCCCACCAGCCCATCCAACCCCGCCTCCTTCCTGACTGTCCGCAGGGACCCCTACCCCCATTCATCCCCTGTTTCCTTCCCAACCACCATCCACAGCCCCACCCCCTGACCACCAGCCCGAACTCCCCTGCCCTCTATCCAACCCCCCCTGCTCCCTGCCCCTGTACCACGCTGCCTGGAGCACCGGAACAGGCCAGGCTCTGCAACTGTGCTGCCCCAGGAGCTCCCAGCCCCACAGCCCAGAGCATTGCACCGGCGGCGCAGTAAGCTGATGCTGTGTGGGAGGGGGAACAGCAGAGGAGGGGCCAGGGGCTAGCCTCCTGGGGCAGGAGCTCAGGGGCCAGGCAGGAGGGGCCGTAGTTTGCCCACCTCTGCCCTAACCACTGGGCTATGGGACATTCTGATGTGAGGCTCCCTCTGTCTCTTTTGTTCAAGTTGTTACACTTCAATTAAATATTAACTCCGAATCACTCTATAACACCCCTCTGCCCTTCGGCCATCTTGTGTGGAGCATGGCCAGTGTGTCTCACAGACACACTGCCTGGCTCCAGAAAAGGGGCTCCTGGCTGTGGATCACTAGCAGAGAGAGGCACCAATGTCAGTAGAGGGGGGGGGGGGATTAGCACATACCCCTCTTGCCAGCCTCTCCCATTGCCTGGCTTAAATGGCTCCTAACACACTGGGTTCTGTGGATCCCATTCTAAGGCGCCTGCTTCTCCCCATTCATTGTATAGGGAGCTCTGAGATGCCTTTGGGGTTACACAAGTTCTCCAGGGTAAATCGCTGCAACCTGCTCACAGTGTGAGAGCCTTGTCTGTGCCCACCGGGGGAAAACTCTCCCAAAACTACTGGCTACAGGCAATACGAGGTGCTGTGCTCCGGGCTCCATGAGCCCCACTGTGTCTCTCTGAAGGCTAGCAATTCACACCCCAGCTTTGTTACACTCGTGTGTCCAGTCCCCTGTCTCCTCCTGGACACCAGCAATGCACACCGATCTGCTACCTCAGTGGAAGCAGTGCAACCCTGGTTACTGGCTTCACCTTGGTTCAACACACTCCTTTACAGAAAAACCAAACTGAAGTTTAATTAATAGAGCCTGAGACAGAGACTCAATTAAAAGAAAGTGTAGATTTGGAAACATAAAGTTAAAGGTATAAGAAACACAATGTATAGCAGGGCTTTGGAGCGGAGCCTGGAGCTGGAGCGCGGAGCAGCTCCGGAGCAGTGGAGCTGCAGGTTTTTGCCTGGAGCTGGAGCGGAGCCGGAGCACAGCTCCAAAGCCCTGATCTATATGTAAGCGGGGGAATGGTCCCGCTATTGTGGGGAACTTTCCTGGCTTCTGCACTACCCCGGTGAAGTGGGCTAGTGAAAGGATCTGAGTCCTCGCTCCCACTCCCTTTACCCAGAGGCCTCCCTGCCCTGGAGGACTCCCCTTCCACTCTCCTGTCTGGCAGAGTCCTCGTAACCCCAACAAGGCTGGGCCCAGGATTCCTGGGGGGCTTGACCCCCAACCCTGCTGTGGTCACCCAGGACAGGGGCTAGGGTGTCC